CTGGGTAATTTTTAAAGAAAAGAGGTTTAATTGGCTCATAGTTCTGCAGTCTGTACAGAAACCATAACACAGACATCCACTTCTGAGGAGGCCTCAGAAAGCTTACAATCATGGCATAAAGTGAAGGTTAGGAGCAGGCGTCTCACATGGTTGGTGCAGGGCAAAGAGAGTGCAAGGTGCCACACACCTTTAAGCAACCAGATCTCACAAGAATTCACTCATCATGAGGACAGCACCAAAGGATGGTGCAAACCATTCATGAGAAATTCACTCACATGATCCAGTCACTTCCCACCAGGTCCCACTGCCAACATTGGGGATTATATTTCAACATGAGATTTGGATGGGGACAAGTATCCAAACTGTAATACCTGGTTATTCTCAAAGTGATGAACATATTCATCCTTATACGTCCTCTTATAGACCTACATGAAAATTTCTTTGGGCTCATTTTCAGGAATAGAATTGCTGAGTCGTAGGATATACAGTTTTTTACTTTGATTAAGTAATACCAGATTGCCCTTCTGAATGGCCTTCACCTGTCTATAATACCCTGGTTGTAGTGGATGAGGATTTCTATGTGCCTTCAACCTTACCAACACTTGCCATTTTTTAGCTTTCTAGTTTTTGCAAATCTTGTAGACTTAAAGCAATATCTTATTTTAATTTAACTTTATTTTAGTCCCAATATTTTGAGCTTCTCTTCATGGTTGTATGCTTCTGGGATTGCCTCTTATGCAACTTGCCTGTTCTTATGCTTCATGTATTTTTCTTTTCTTTTCTTTCTTTCTCTTTCTCTTTTCTTTTCTTTCTTTCTTTTTTTTTGAGACAGAGTCTTGCTCTGTCACCTAGGCGATTCTCCTGTCTCAGCCTCCCAAGTAGCTGGGATTACAGGCGCACACCATCATGCCTGGCTAATTTTTTGTATTTTTAGTAGAGATGGGGTTTCACCTTTTTGGTCAGGCTGTTCTTGAACTGCTGACCTTGTGATCTCCCTGCCTTGGCCTCCCAAAGTGCTAGGATTATAGGCGTGAGTACAGGCATGAACCACCATGCCCGGCCCATATATTTTTCTTTTGGAGCTTCTTTTTCTTGTTGATTTGTAGGAGTCCCTTGTATATTCTAGATAATAATTCCTTGTTATTTTTAGGAGTTGCACATATTTTTCTACCATTTTGTTATTAATTTTTAAAAAGTCTTTCTCTGTTTCTAGATCTGAGGTACTCTGCATTTTTCCCAGTAACTTTATAGTTTTATGTAAAAGCTACATATAGCTACATCTAGAGTCTACTTTTGTATATCGTGTTAGATAGGGATATGGCTTTATCTTTCTGCATGTACTAATGCTGTTTCCCCTACACATTGGTAAGTACTCTTTTGTCTATCAATTTGTAGTGCCATGTTTATGCTCTATTATGCTCTTATTTTTTACATCAGTCTGATTTTGAGCTCTGGTCCTTTTACATTGGTCTATTTTTCTGTTCTTGCAATAGTACTAGAGTTTTTTTGTTTTATTTGTTCGTATTTTTTCCTAGGTATGTTTTAATACCTAGTAGAGCAGATATTCCACTCTACTTTTTTAAAGGTTGATTTAGCTATTTCTGGGGTTTTGTTCTACATAAATTTAGAATAAGTTTATTAGAAAATACACTTTGAAATATGATTGAAATTGTATTGAATTGGTAGATTAATGTGAGGGCTAATTGCCATCTTCATTATATTAAGTTGTCCTATTCAAGAACATAGACATAATTTCTTTAGATTGTCTTCTGTATCCTTTATTAGACTTTTTTTTTTTTTTTTTTTTTTTGAGATAGAGTTTCTCTCTTGTTACCCAGGCTGGAGTGCAATGGTGCGATCTCGGCTCACTGCAACCTCTGCCTCCTGGGTTCAAGCAATTCTCCTGCCTCAGCCTCCCAAGTAGCTGGGACTACAGGCATGCGCCACCATACCCAGCTAATTTTTGTATTTTTAGTAGAGACGGGGTTTCATCTTGTTGACCAGGATGGTCTCGATCAATCGACCTCGTGATCCACCCACCTTGGCCTCCCAAAGTGCTGGGATTACAGACTTGAGCCACCGTGCCCGGCCTATTAGACTTTTAAAGTTTTATCAGTAAAGGTCTTGTATATGCTTGGTTAGGCTAATTTCTAGATTCTATATAGTTTTTGTGGCCATCGTGAATGGTGTTTTCTAAGTGGTTATTGCTGGTATAGGAAAATGCTATTGACTTTTCTAGGTTGATATTATATTTGGTATCCTTGCTAAACTCTTTAATATTAGTTCTGAGAGTTTGGTTTATTTTTTTCTTTCATTTTTTTTCTAGTTGGATGATTACCTTCTCTGTAAGGCATGCCAAACATAGCACTTTCTTTCTAATCCTTGCCATTTCCTAATTCCACGCTTCCTTTTCTAATAGTATTTAGCTAGGATATTTAAAACATTTGCAGTGATAGTTAGAGGTCTAGTTTTTCTTGTTCATAATTTTAAATTAATGCATTTAGTTTCTTTGTTATTCATAACATTCTTTGTAGGTTTTTGGTATTTAAGTTTTACTAAGTTAAGGATGTTTACTTTTATTCTTTGTTCACTAAGGATTATCATTATAAATAGAATTAAGCTATGTTAAATACTTCTTTTTCTGTATTGATTGAGGTAAAGCGTATGATTTTTCTTTTTGGTCATGTGATGTATTATACTGACATTTTCTGATGTTGAACTCTCCGTGCTTTCCTTTGATGAACTGCACTTGATCAAAATGTATTTTTAAATATATACTGTTGGATTGATTATTTAGTGTTTTTATGTCTACATTTCATAAATGAAATATCCCTAAACTTTATTACTTTATAATTGTCTCAATTTCATTTTAGAATCAAGATTAAATTGCCCTCATAAAATGGACTGAGTAACATTTATTCTTTTTCCAGTGAGTGGAATCAATTGGATAAGGTAGTAGCTAATTATATTTTGGAAGTTTAGTAAAATAAACACATAAAATCATCTGGGCCTGAGGGTTTTGTAGGGAAAATATTTGACTACCATTGCCGTTTTATTTTTCTATTGGGATTTAAAAATACTTCTTGTGAGTTTTCCAATTTATAGCATATTGTTGATCATAATATACTTATAGTTTTAATTTTTTATGGTTTTCCCTTTTTCATTTTGTATATTGTTTATTTGCATCTTTTTTTTAGCAAAGATCTATCTTATTATCCTTTTGAAAGAATTAAATTTTGCTTTGTTAATCTTTTCCATTCAGACTGTGTATGTGTATCTGTGGAGGTGGATTCTCTGGTTTTAAATTTCTGTCCTTTATCATCTTATTTCTCTGTTCTTTTGCTATTTCCATTGCATTGAGTCTTTAACTAGTTTGTTGTTAACCTTTCTCATTTTATGGTAAACTTACTTAATGCTATATATTTACTTCTTAGTTGTTTACTGTCTCCTACAAATTTTTATTTGTTGTGTTTTTATTATCATTCACTTGTAAATATTTCTTAGTTGCCTTTTTCTTTTTAACTCAAGGTTAATTTAGTAATAAGCTATTTTGTTTTCAAATATATGCTAAATTTTGGCTATGATTTTGTTATTAATTTCTAATGCTATTGCATTAGAGTTAGAAAACAAACTCCATGATATTGAAACTGGAATTTATTGATACTTCACTTACAGCTGTAATCATTGTCTCTTTTTGGAATTTTTTTTTGTTGTCTTAAATGTTGTATTTGTTATATATTGTTGTATTTGATATAGAGCTATATTCTATATATAATAGCTTGAGTTTTTTAGTTGTAATGTGTAAGTGTTCCATATCTTCACTTGATTTCTTTTTTTGGTCTGCTTGATCCATGAACAGTATTAAAATATCCACATGCACTTGTTCTTTTTCTCTTTGCAGTTCTGCTAGTTGCTTGATATATTTTGAGACTGCATTATACAATATATATCTATTTATGATGGATATGTCTTCTTGTTCTATTGCTTTTTGTCATGTAGTTCTATTTAGTCAGATATTGAGACTGCTACCTCAGCTTTATTTTGGTTCATATTTGCCTATCTTATTATTATTCTATCTTATTATTTTCATTTTGTGACCCTAAAGTATATCTCTTCTAATCTGAATATTGTTGAATCTTTTGTTTTAATCTGTGTCTTTCTTTTCATTGGTAAGTTTAATTCATATACATTTATTGCAGTTTCTTTTATATTGGGACTTCATTCTGACATTTCCTTTTATGCGTTTTATTTATGGTACTCCCTTTTTCTTTTTTCTTTTTCTCCTTTTCTGTTTTATTTTATTCTTGTCCTGTTACTTACGATCTGTCTTCATCTTATTTACCCTTATTGATTTTTTTTTTTTCCTGAGACCGTCTCGCTCTGTTGCCCAGGCTGGAGTGTAGTGGTGTGGTCTTGGCTCACTGCAGCCTCCGCCTCCTGGATTCAAGTGATTCTCCTGCCTCAGCCTCCTGAGTAGCTAGGACTCTAGGCATGCACCACCATGCCTGGCTAATTTTTGTATTTTTAGTAGAAACAGGGTTTCACCATGTTGGCCAGGATGGTGTCAATCTCCTGACCTCGTGATCCACCTGCCTCAGCCTCCCAAAGTGCTGGGCTTACAGGCGTGAGCCACCGTGTGCGGCCCCTACTCTTACTATTTTTTACACATAAAATAACTGCACTCTCTTCCAGCAAGATAGGTACCTTAGCAGACTCTCAGGTTCTATATATTTTTTTTACTTATACATACCTCATCTTGTAAACTTTGTCTATAATTTTTGTCTTTTCTAGGATACAGATTTTCCTCTTACTTTCATAGTTTTTCCAGGGCTGATTTCAGAAAAGGTAATACAGATCATACTAGTTTGCCATCTTGACAGTAACTGGAAAGACTCAAGTTTTGTAGCAAATTAACAGCATTTATCTTGCTTTGAATTGCCCCACTTCAATCACAGGTAGTGAGTTGGTAACTTAATCAGTATTTTTTCCTCTAATAACAGGTAGAAAATGTGAAATTGCTGGATCGTTATGTGAGTAAGAAACCAGCTAACGGGATTCTTTATCTTACTGCAACCCACCTGATCTATGTGGAGGCTTCTGGTACAGCACGGAAAGAAACATGGGTATGTTCATGAGAAGAAATATTAAAGGGTCTTAAAGAGTTGTGCATACATGCTCTCTATACGGTGGTTTCTTGAAATTTCAAGTATAAATTTTAAATTACTATAAAACTTTTTCTTCAAAGGACCTGTGCTAATAATGTTGCTATGGCCTGAATTATAGGACTCCTCTTTCTTCAAGTTATTGACTGCAGTCATTGTAGTCATTTTATTCTACATGGGTATATTCCTGAGGTTTAGCTAAATTATTTTTAGGTAGAATAGTTTCTGCTCATTTCCTGAAATAAGTTTGTAAGCATCTTGAAGTAATTTAAAGCCTTGCTACCCATAAAATGTAGTTCAAGAACCAGCAGCATCTGTAGCATATGGGAACTTGATAAAAATGCAGAATCTCAAGCCAAAGATTTTGAATTTCTAAAAAGGGCTTAGGTGATGCTCATGCTAAGGCCTCATGGCCTTTACCTTGGGCATCAGTAATTTAGACCATCTCTCTGTCCTAAGACAGGATTTTACCTGAGTGTATATATTTGTGTGCTCACACACACACATTTGTATGTGTTTCTTTTTACACCTTTAAGGAATGTTTTGTAATTACTTCAGCACCCCAACATTACTTTATGCCTTCCCCATTCTAAAGATCATAATTTAATCTTAATTATTAGTTGGATTTATGATTAGACCTCTTCATTTATAAGAAGTGCAACATGTTTTTTATATATAGCATAGCTTAGTGATTAAAGCTTTAGAGCCAGTCTGCTCAGGTTGAAATTCCAGTTTCAATATTTACTACTTTTGTAACCTTGGGCAAGTTGTTTAACTTTTCTGTGTCCCGCTGCTTTCATCTGTAAAACAGAGATAAAATAATACCTTGAATTATTTTTAAAAAGTCAAGATAGAAGAATTACAAAGTGAATGTTTATAAGTGCTTACAACAATGCCTGGAACATGGTAAACACTATCATGTAAGTATAAAATAAATTGAATTGAGTATGCATATGAAAGAAGTATCTTAATACTTCCTTTTAAAAATGAACTTTCCCCATAGGAGATTGTATCTTGCTCCCTTTGGTGTGATGATAAGAATGCCAAAAGAGGAATGAGAACAGGGCTAGAATAAGCTCTGATACTAACTGGCTATGTAACCTTAGGCAATAGATTCTTCCTCTCTGGGCTTGTTTTTTCATTTGTAAAGTGAGCTGGTTAGATTATATAATTAGTAAGGAATCTTGGAATTCTATCAGGTTAGGAACCAATTCTTTAGTACTGTTCCATGAGCCTGTCTCCTATCTACCTACATTTATAGACAGTACACATGTCTCCAGATTTGTTCCTTTTGGGTATTATTTCAAACTCAGTGGACTGTATCTAGAAGGGAGAACTTACACTTATTTCTGTGTGTCAAAGGAGGCTTATTTACCCAATTAGGGAAGTTCTTCCTAGCCTTAGTCTGCCCTGCCTCCCTCCTACCCTTCCCAGTTTCACCACAATTGTTTGCCTGGGCCCTGATTTCAGTTATCAGTATCATACTACCCAAACACACTTTTTTGAGATTGAATAGATTAATTCCTATTACATTTTGTGATACCTCCAGAACTGTTATGGCATGACTTTAGTTTGACAAAACAATTAAGATGGAAATTAATCACGCCTGTAATCCCAGCACTTTGGGGGGCTAAGAAAGTAGGATTGTTTGAGGCCAGGAGTTTGAGACCAGCTTGGGCAACAAAGCGATACCTAGTCTCTACAAAAAAAATATTAAAAATTAGCCAGGCATGGTAACACACAACTGTAGTCCTAGCTTACTCAGGAGGCTGAGGCAGGAGGATCTCCTTTGAGCCCAGGAGGTTGAGGCTACAGTGAGTCACTATCAGGCCACTGCACTCAAGCTCAGGCAACAGAGTGAGACACTACCTTAAAAAAGCAACAAAAGCCAAAATAGACAAATGAGATCTAATTAAACTTAAGAGTTTCTGCACAGCAAAAGAAACAATCATTAGAGTGAATGGCCAACCAACAGAATGGGAAAGATTTTTTGCCATCTACCCATCTGACAAAGGGCTAATATCCAGACTCTACAAAGAACTAAAGCAGATTTACAAGAAAAAAACATCCATTCAAAAGTGGGCAAAGGATATGAACAGACACTTTTCAAAAGAAGACATTTATGAGGCCAAAAACATGAAAAAATGCTTATCATCACTGGTCATTAAAGAAATGTAAATCAAAACCACATTGAGATACCATCTCATGCCAGTTAGAATGGCGATCATTAAAAAGTATGGAGACAACAGATGCTGGAGAGGATGTGGAGAAATAGGAACACTTTTACACTGTTGATGGGAGTATAAATTAGTTCAATCATTGTGGAAGACAGTGTGGCGATTCTCCAAGGATCTAGAAATAGAACTACCATTTGACCCAGCAATCCCATTACCGGCTATATACCTAAAGGATTATAAATCATTCTATTATAAAGACACATGCACACATATGTTCATTGTGGCACTGTTTGCAATAGCAGACTTGGAACCAACCCAAATGCCCATCGATGATAGACTGGACAGAGAAAATGTGACACATATACACCATGGAATACTATGCAGCCGTAAAAAAGGATGAGTTCACGTCTTTTGTAGGGACATGGATGAATCTGGAAACTATCATTCTCACCAAAGTGACACAGGAACAGAAATGCAAACACTGCATGTTCTCTCACTCATAGTCAGATGTTGAACAATGAGAACACATGGGCACAAGGATGGGAACATCATACGCTGGGTTATGTTGGGGGGTGGGGGGCTGGGGGGGCACAGTGGGTGGTGGGGAGGTTGGGGAGGGATAACACTGGGAGAAATGCCTGATGTAGGTGATGGGGGATGGAGACAGCAAACCACCATGGTATGTATATACCTATGCAACAATCCTGCAAGATCTGCACATATACCCCAGAACTTAAAGTACAATAAAAAAAAAAAAAAAGAAAATTTATCCTAGGAATATGTGAATCATCTCCATATTTGCTCCATTCTTAGATGATAGATACCATTGAAAGATTTCATTGAAGAGGTGACTTTTCCAAATAAATTAGGGACTAGGGCATTGGGGTGATGGGAGAGCAGAAAAGGCACTGTTGATTGGAAGACCATTCCAGGCACAGGACAGGGAGTCTAGAGAATAGAAAGAGCACATCCAGGATCTATAGTTGCAGAAGCATCAGACAGGGATAGGAGAAGAACATAAGAAAATAAAATGCAAAACCATGATTCTATGGCTTTTTGAATCAATTAAGAGAGAATTACATTATTTGGACACATTTTCTTTGATCAGTTCCCTTTCCATGCATTTCTTTTTTTGCTGGCATCAGTATGAACAGGAGTAATCATCCTACATTCTTTGCTTTACTGTCACTAGAGTTTAAAATGTAGAGAAATAGTTCCTCCCTAACATTTCTAGTTAAATCCTTATTCCAGAACTAGAGATTTTACAATTCCCAGAGAAGAATCCTGGACTTATGGTTAGACTGCTGTGATTCAAATTCTGTTTGTGCTACTTCTTGGCTATATGATACCTAATGAGGAATTCACTTCTCAGAGCTTTGTTTTTTTCATTCCTGAAACATGATGATTATACATCAAATGGCTCTTCTTAAATAGCTAATGGTCATGGACTACTTCGTTTATAATAAAGCATAATACCAGCTATTAATAATTATCTTAATTAGTAATTTGATATAAGCAAAGAAGTTCCTACTTTCCTCTGTAACAATTATTTTGTGATTGTAAATTCCATCACAGCATGCCAGAAGTCATCTATTCTTAAGTGATCCAGCAAAGTTGTCCCACAAACTTGTTAATCTTGTATCCTTAAGGAGAGAGAAGTTTTCTGACACTGCAGTCTGCTTCTCATTACTTTACAACTATTATGCTCTATTTCTATTTGAGAGAACCCCAGTTGTATCTTACAAAGAATGATTGTAGGCTATAGATGTAGCCTACAGATCTGGTCATAATGTAATCATTACTGAGAGTCGGGAATACTGATAGTGATAGAGATATTGCACATCTGTATGTTTACACTCATTCTTTTATGTTTTTCAGATTGCACTCCATCACATTGCCACTGTGGAGAAGTTACCCATCACTAGTCTGGGCTGTCCCCTAACACTCCGCTGCAAGAACTTCCGGGTGGCCAATTTTGTCTTAGACTCTGACCTTGTGTGCCATGAGGTTTATATTTCACTACTCAAGCTTTCTCAGCCAGGTAGTTATGATAGCATTTTTATCTAAAACCATTTTAGTATTTTTCCAAAATGGCATAATGGAAAGATCAGGGCTATGGAGTTAGAGCAGGGTTTGGATCTGAGCTCTACCACTTACTAGCTCCATGATATTTGGGAAAGTTATAGAACCTCTGAACTCATTTTCTTTACCTGTAAAAGTAAGGAGAGTAAAAGCTCTCCAAGGGGGTTGTTTTGAGCCTTGAATACCTTCATGTATTAGTATATTGTAGATGTTTAATAGATATTTTCTTCTCTCTCCCTCCCTCCTTTTAAGTATCAACTTGTGAATTTTTCCTCAGTTCAGGAAGAAAGACTGCTTTGGAACAAAATTTGTTTCCTGTTTTCCTACAGGCTGTTTGACCCACAATTTCCACCCCTACTTTCAATTCCACCTAGAAGACTAAGACAGTTCATCAGAGTCCTCATTAATGTAGGACTTAATGCTTCCTCCAGCCTCACCCTTTAATTCCCCAGCCCACAACCTTAGGCTATTAACCATCAGCTTCCTCTGATTTTAGTCTTTGATTTTAATCAGGCTCTTATATTTTCTCTCCCATTTTTCCCCCTTTGCCCAGAATAATTCCTCAATATTTGCTGATTTTTATTGACAAAATTACCTGCTGGATGGCCCTATGAGACTCTGATAGGCTCCATTCATCTCCGGAGAAGTTGTTGCCACATAAATCGGTCAAATAAGTTATTTGATTGTATGCCATATCTTGTGAAGGGAGGAAGCAGCACTGACAGAGAAAAGAGAGGAAGTGGCCATTTGTAAGTCAGAAGTTGCTGTTGGCCTGACAAGTAGAATACAAAAACATTGTTAAAGTTGTGCAACATGTTACAATAAGCAGTACTATTGGGACATGGGGGCCCAGTTAAAATCTTTTGGTAAAGACTCCTTCCCTAACATGTGAAACCCTGAAGCCTGAGTTCAGTCAAGTATCCAGCATTCTTTTTTATAGGAAGCCAGGCAGAAAGATCCCATTTTGTGTTGATACCACAAAAAATTAAAACTTTTTTTTTAAAAAGAAGAACCCAAACAATACTCCAGGTTTTAATTCCTTACATAAAGGCAAACTTGCACACACCGCAGTCCTTTTCTGGGACTGTCTGACAAAACATTCCCTTTTGGAAAAGGAAATCTAGCCTTTATTTGCATTGTTTGATGATCTTTAGGTTTCACTCATCATTTTGTTCCCCACGCCTATCTCTCTTCTCCAGCATTACCTGAAGATCTTTATGCTTTTTCTTACAATCCCAAATTCTCGAAAGAGATGAGGGAAAGTGGATGGAGACTGATTGACCCAATATCAGACTTTGGGCGTATGGGAATACCCAACAGATACTGGACTATAACAGATGCCAACAGAAACTATGAGGTAATTTTGTCCTTGTTGCTTTCCTTTTGGTGCATTTAATTAAAATGGCAGAATATCAGAAAACAAGATTTTGAAAAAAGAGAACTCACTCATAATCTCTTTCTCCTTTTCATTCAACATTCAGCCATTCAACAAACATTTATTTTTATTTATTTATTTATTTTCTTAATTTTTTTTTATTGCATTTTATGTTTTGGGGTACATGTCAAGGACATGCAAGATTGTTGTAAAGGTACACACATGGCAGTGTGATTTGCTGCCTTCCTCCCCATCACCTGTATCTGGCATTTCTCCCCATGCTATCTCTCCCCACCTCCCCGCCCCCCATCCCTCCCCCATTTCTCCCCCAACAGACCCCAGCGTGTAGTGCTCCCCTCCCTGTGTCCACATGTTCTCATTGTTCAACACCCACCTATGAGTGAGAATATACGGTGTTTGATTTTCTGCTCTTGTGTCAGTTTGCTGAGAATGATGGTTTCCAGGTTCATCCATGTCCCTACAAAGGACATGAACTCATTGTTTTTGATGGCTGCATAATATTCCATGGTGTATATGTACCATATTTTCCCTGTCCAGTCTATCATCGATGGGCATTTGGATTGGTTCCAGGTCTTTGCTATTGTAGACAGTGCTGCTATGAACATTCATGTGCATGTGTCCTTATAGTAGAATGATTTATAATCCTTTGGATATATACCCAGTAATGGGATTGCTGGGTCAAATGGAATTTCTAAGTCCTTAGGGAATTGCCACACTGTCTTCCACAATGGTTGAACTAATTTGCACTCCCACCAACAGTGTAAAAGTGTTCCTGTTTCTCCACATCCTCTCCAGCATCTGTTGTCTCCAGATTTTTTAATGATCGCCGTTTGAACTGGCATGAGATGGTATCTCAATATAGTTTTGATTTGCATTTCTTTAATGACCAGTGATGATGAGCATTTTTTCATGTGTTTGTTGGCCTCCTGTATATCTTCTTTTGTAAAGTGTCTGTTCATATCCTTCGCCCACTTTTGAATGGGCTTGTTTCAACAAACATTTATTGAGTATCTACTGTGCAGTAGGCACTGAGTAAGAGATTTCATGGCCTAAAGCATAGGGTTCTATGGAAGCATAAGTGCAGGACACGAAAATCAGTCTAGGAAGCCAGAAACAGCCTGATGCTTTGGAGAATAGCCTTGTGAAGACTAATTTACTTTTAGAATTTTAAAAATTTTTAATTATTATGAATACATAATAGTTGTACATATTTATAGGGTACATGTAATATTTTTATACAAGCATACAATATGTAATGATCAGATCAAGGTAATTGAGGTATTCATCACCACAAGCATTTATCATTTGTGTTAGGAGCATTCCAATTCCATTTTCAGATATTTTTTTATTATTATTTCTAGTCATCCTGTTGTACTACTGATTACTAGATCTTATTCCAGTTATCTAACTGTATTTTTGTACCGGTTGAGGATCTTCTCTTTAACCCCCAACTCTACTACCATTACCAACCTTTGGTAACCATCATTCTGCTGTCTCTATGAGTTCTTTTTTTTTTTTTTTTAGCTCGTACAACATTTGAGTGAGATTATGCAATATTTGTCTTTCTATGCTTTGCTTATTTCACTTAATATAATGTCCTCCAGTTCCATCCATGTTGTTCCAAATGACAGGATTACATTTTTTTATGTATGAATAATATTCCATTGTGCATATAGACCACATTTTCCTTTTCTTTCCTTTTTGTTTTTTTGAGACAAGGCCTTACTCTGTTGCCCAGGGTAGAGTGTAGTAGCATGATCACAACTCACTATAGCCTCAATCTCCTGGGCTCAAGTGGTCTTCCCATCTCAGCCTCTCATATAGATGGGAGCAACAAGCACCCACCACCATGCCTGGTGAATTTGTTTCATTTTTTATAGAGATGGTGGTCTTGAACTCCCAGGCTCAAGCAGTCCTCCCTCCTTGGCCTCTCAAAGTGCTGAGATTATAGGAATGAGCTACTACTCCCAGTCAATAGTGGCTGTACTAATTTACATTCCTACCAATTGTGTATGAAAATTCCCTTTTCTCCACAACCTCACTAAGTATCCATTATTGCCTTTTTGATAAAAGCCATTTAACAGGTGAGATGATATCTCATTGTAGTTTTGGTTTGCATCTCCCTGATGATTATTGATGTTGAGCATTTTTTCATATACTTGTTGGTGTTCTTTTGAGAACTATCTATTTAGATCTTTTGTCTATATTTAATTGAATTATTTGTTTTTATTCTATTGAGTTCCTTGGGCTCCTTATATTTTCTGGTTGTTAATCCGTTGTCAGATGGGTAATCTGCAGATACTTTCTCCTATTCTGTAGGTTGTCTTTTCACATTGTTGGTTGTTTCCTGTGCCATGGAGAGTTTTAGCTCAGTGTTATCCCATTTGTCCATTTTTTTTCTTTGTTTGGTTACATGTGCTTTTGAGGTCTTACTTGAGAAGTCTTTGCCCAGACCAACATCCTGAAGTGTTTCTCTATTGTTTCTTCTGCATATGGATGTCCAATTTTCCCAGAACCATTTATTGAAGAGAGTCCTTACCCCAAATATTTGTTCTTGGTGCCTTTGTTGAAAATGACTGAACTGTAAATGTATGGATTATTTTTGAGTTTCTCTCCTAATTTATACAGGAGGAGAAGGAAAGAGTTCAGGAAGTGAGGGCTTATCATGAAGACAGTTGAGAGCCGCAAGAGTATTTACACTTGGAAGTAACATATGTATATTTGTATTTTAGAAAGATAACTGTTACTGGTGCGGAGAATTTGTTTGCTGGAGCTAAAAATGCAGGCAAATGATATGTGAAGTTATGAGAACCTGAACTAAGGTAATGGCTGCAAATGGAGAGAAGGAGATGGTTTTAAAATATATTTAGGTGGTAGAGTTGAAAGCAGCTGGTGACAAATCAAATGTGCCTAGAAAATTAGAGGAGTTTACTATGCATCCCAGCTTTCCTGGTTTCTGGCATTGATGACCAATGAGTAGTAGTGATGTTGACAAAGATAAGGACCACAAGAAGAGGGACAGATGGTATCTTCAATTTTACATTTGACTTCAAAGTGATTAAACAGGTAACAAGAATTTGATTTCAAGCATTTGGGTCTGGATCTCAAGAAAGAGCTTTGGGCCAAATGTGGACCTCTAAGAATGTGTTAGAGGTTCCAAAGACTATTCCTCAGGTTTTGTGATTTACTAGGAAAATTCATAGGACTCAGCGTATAGTCATACTTATGATTATGATTTATTATAGTGAAAGGATATAAAGCAAAAATCAGCAAAGGGAAAAGGTTCAGGGGACAAAGTCGAGAAAACCAGGAACAAGCTTCCAGAGTCCTCTCTTAGTAGGACACACTGAATTCCTTCAGCAACAAATTGTAACAACACTTATGAAATGTTGTCTACCAGGAAGCTCATTAGAGACAAAGTGCTCAGGGCTGCTACTGGGGCCTGCCCACATAGGCACATTCTGCCTAGTATATGCCAGAATTCCAGATCCCCAGAAGGAAAGCAGGTACGCAGGATAAGCCACATTGTTTGCACAAACAGTTTAAGCACAATCCAAGTAGGCCATTCTAAGGGTAGTGTGATGGTTAATATTGTCAACTTGATTGGACTGAAGTATTGTTTCTGGGTAGGAGATTAACATTTGAGTCAGTGGACTGGTAGAGGCAGACCCACCCTTAATCTGGGTGGACACCATTCCCTTGGCTGCCAGCGCAGCTGGAAAAAGCAAGCAGAAGAAAGTGGAATGAGCAGACTTGCTGAATCTTCCAATCTTCATCTTTCTCCCGTGCTAAATGCTTCCTGCCCTCGAACATCAGACTTCAAGTACTTCGGCTTTTGGATTCTTGGACTTATACTAGTTAGTGATTTGCCAGGGGCTCTTGGGCCTTCGGCCACAAACTGAAGGCTTCACTATCGGCTTCCTTACTTTTGAGGTTTTGGGACTCCAACTGATCCACTGTTGTCTTTCTTACTCCTCAACTTGCAGATGGCCTATCGTGGGACTTTACCTTGTGATCGTGTGAGTCAATTCTCTTTAATAAACTCCCTTTCATATATAAATATATCCTAGTTGTCCTGTCCCTCTAAAGAACCCTGACTAATACAGGTAGCCATCAGCCTGCTATGATAATTTTTCTGCAGAGAGAGTCATTGGTGTTTAAGTGATATTACTGAATTGTTGATCTTTATTTCCAGCTTTTTTACTATCATAGTAAGACTGTGATTGCAATGACTTTCTGATAACATAGCTTTGAATGTCTACTAGATATGGGACTTGATGAGCTGTGACTTTGCAGTGTCATCTGTGAGGTGGCTTGTTAGGGTCATGTTAGAGAGGAATGAGTAGAGATTGGGGGTAATATCTGTCCACCTCAAATGTGTGTCTGAGTCTTCCAAATAAGGTCTAAAATATTCTTGGTCTTTTTGATGTATATAACCTTCTGAGCTCAATTGGGAGCTCCATTTATTTTTCCTTGTATGGCTGTCTTCTCCAAAGTTTAAGTCCAGGTAAAGGGTATGGGTAGAAAACATTTTCTATGTTTTTGCATTTTGGGGACATTGACTTTAATGAGTTACATAGAGCATTCTTGATCTGAACTACCTTTAACTTTTTTTTTTTTTTGCCTGTTCAGTTTATATTTGTTTCATCTGTTGTTAAATGTTTGGGGGTGTTCTTTACTTAGGGGAGTGATTAGAATTAATTTTGCAATATCAGGTCTGTGGTGTTATAATATTTTATCAATGTCTCTTTGGAAATATGTATTTTGGTAATTACTAAAATCTGATAAACTTGAGAAAATATGTCAGTCTTTTCGTAGAGTTAAGTTACACCTAAAATGTCAATGCCACTCGCAGACTAGTATTTTAAGGGCCCTCCAGATATGAATACTAGGAACCTAGTGTGCAGTTTATGATAGAATATATCATATTTCCTCCTCCTCCACCTGTCTGCCTCATATTTAAGTCTGTTCATATTAATTTACTTATTTACAGTCTATATTGTTTGCTCCAATAGGCACATGTAGGAATTTCAAGATGGGGTTGTATGTGTGTTTCTGGCTATGATTTTAGTTATTCTAATTCTAAAAGTACATTCATTTTATTCTTGTATGTCTCAATCCCTTCCTTTCTAGAAAATAATAACATACTTGGAAAAACTTTTATAACAAGGATATTTTCATTTCTATTTCTGAGGAATAGATGATTAAATATCAGCTAGCTAACACTTTAGTGATTGCTGATTCCAGCCTGTTGCTAGCAAGTGAAAAATGTATATATGTATAAAATGTAAAATATATCTATAATGTAAAAAAAAAAATATATATATATATATATATATATATATATATATATATATATATTGTGCTTATTTTCTTTTAGATATGTAGCACCTACCCTCGTGAAATAGTGGTTCCTAAATCTGTTACCTTGGGAACGGTGGTTGGAAGTTCAAAATTCAGAAGTAAAGAACGTGTCCCTGTGCTCTCCTACCTCTGCAAAGAGAACAGTGTAAGTTAAGCAGATTTCTCTAAGGAAATTAAAGTTGGCTCTGGAAGACCTGTTTTAAGTCTCATGCTGCCACTTAGTGGCTGTGTGACCTCAAGTTATTTAACTTCTCTGGACTTTTGTACTTCTGAAAGTTTTTGAGAGGATCTCAGGAGGGAATAATATATGTGTACCTTGTAAATTGCAAAATGTTATGCAGGTGTTAAGTGGTATTTTAGTTTGTTCATTTGTTTTTCTTTTCTGTGGGTTACAGCTTGGTGGGAAGCTGTAAAATGAAAGGAAATTAGTTGTATGGCAGGAGTTTTCTGTGACTGTGGCTGGCCTCCCAGTAGAATACAGATATCCTTGATACTTTCTTACTGCCTTTCATATAATTTCAGATAGTAATAAGAAAGCACTTGACATAAGTAAGGGGATTCTGTTACCTATTGCAATCACTCTGAGATCTGGGGTTAGACAAATAGTCAAGTTGTCAGGTTGGCAGCAATTCAAATGCTAAAGAGTATAGTAATGCAATTGGGTGTCATACTATTGAAATGAGTAGACCCCTTAAAAACCACATCAAAGTGTATTAACTAATCATTACCAGACATGCGTGTTAAATAGACACCTTGTTTTTGTGTTAAAATGGCTTCAGAGAAACCAGCCTTCTGATTTGGCATTAACTCCTGAAACTAGTGAACCCTTTTCTCTTAAGGCACTATAGATCTTTGCTGTATCTTGAATTCTGCTGCCTCTGCAAGCTTATGGTTTATGTGGACAATATTACTGGGACTGTAAAAAGTGAAGCAGTTTCAGAAAAATAACTAGCCCATTATGTATTGAGAATAGAATTTCATTAAGGAAATGTTCAACATGTGATTTTTTTTTTTTTTTTTTTTTGTAGTCTGATTTGCCAGGATTGGGTTGGAAATTAGAGCCACATGCCCGGGGTAGGCAGGAGTTTAAGCCCAATGTCAGTGGAGAATGGCTTTAGAGCCCCATTTCTGTTTGCTTTGGACAATATCTTAAGTTGGCTCATCCTTTCCCTCAACTCATGCAGCCTGGCTAGGGTGAAGGAAGATTTTTGACCTTTTGTGAATGTAATCACTCAACTGACACACCTTTTCCTTACAGGCTGCCATTTGCCGCTGTAGCCAGCCTCTCTCTGGATTTTACACTCGCTGTGTAGATGATGAGCTCTTGTTGGAGGCCATTAACCAAACGAACCCAGGGAGCCAGTTTATGTATGTTGTAGACACAAGACCAAAGGTATCTATCTCTCAGTGACTTCTTTGATATTTCTACCTCTTGCAGTCAGTGTTATTGGGAAAGTTAGGTTTGTGTATGTGTTTATTACATCAGATAATGTAAAATTATTTGAGGAAGCCATTTGGAGCTCCTTTTATAAGGTTGCCACTGTCAAGTGAGGTTGTGAGAGGGTATTTCAAACAACCTGGCTTTGCCACCTCAGTGTGACATCCTGCATAGAAGGCTCATTAACATCCCTCATTTTTTTTTTTTTTTTTTTAATCAAGTCTGTTCCTTAACTAGAATTTAAAGTATTCCCATTCTGTGGTCTAAAAACTTACTACTGCCAACATGTTTTTTTTTTTTCCTCTAAATGTGTTAGGTCACAGTAAGTTTATAATACTTGGGTTCTCCCAAAGCAGCAGGGTTCACAAATTTTACTGCCGTACCATTAACAAAAAATCTTTAGCTCATGTGGCAGTTAATTCATTTTTAGCATGTAGCACTGTTAGCTGATAATTTTTTTTTCCAGTTTAGTACAGTGCAGTTTAAATCTTGGTTTCAGAGAACAAAAAAAGACCAAGTTCTTAAATTTGCTGTGGATTTTGGCAGTGGACATGGATAGACCTAGTGAAATCCTTTGATCTTTCCAAGAGTCTAATACTGCATGATTTGTTGCAGTGTGTTTTCTCAGGCTTTGTCTCTTTCAAATGTGAATGTTGCTGAACAGAGTGTCATCATATAAACCTAAGTATCAGCTTAAACTCCTCTCTACATTAATTCCTTAACCTTCAATGTTTTGTCCAGCTTTATAAGGGCTATAGAAGAATTCAGTGTGTCCCACAAAGGAAGTAAAGGATCCATTCCATATTCTTAAATATTATTCTTTTTACCAACAGCCCCAGAAAGAAATAATTTTGCTTATAATTTGTTACGCAAAGTATGGCTGACTAAAAGGCTTCATTGCTGATTCCATTGATTACTACATTAGTGATTTTCATCTAAGCCTAAGCCAGATGGTTGTGACTTAAGAATTGAGCAGTTGGATATACATGAAATCAGATAGTTCTCTTAGACAGCTTTCTGCCCCATCTTTGTGATCCCTCAGTGACTGTTCTCCAGAGCTACCTAGGACTGACTAGGCTCAGGAGAGGAAATAATTTCTCTTTCTGCTCAGGTACCATCCTTCAGTTTTTCAGAAGCTTGCTGTCTTGCTTCAACCATAACTGCCTCTGACATTCTGCGATTGGAAAGAGTTTAATTGAGTCTGTATCTTTAAAGATTAAATAATCTTAAAATAGTAAAGAGAAATACACCAAACTTTTGAAAAAGCAAGAGTTGGTACCTTTTGTTCAAATCCAACACCAAAAAGCCCCTTTTAACAGGTTCCATTTTCCTCTCTCCAATTTGAGCATATTAAGATGGGCCTAGAAATATCTGGCAGTCCCCCTCTTCTGGATAGCTAGATATGTACTTTTAGTAGGAACTATATTATACTGGCAAAATTTTGTTCTAGGAGTCAGTCAAATCTATGGTCAAATGCTGCTTTCAGCCCTTATCCATATCATCTTGGGCAAATTGGTTCAACTCTCTGAGCCTGTTTTCTTATGGGGATAATAATAGTACCCACTTTGAGGGGCTGTAATGAGGATTGAGATAATGTATGTAAAGGATTTAGCACTGTGTCACGCATATACTAGGAGCTCAATAAATAATACATCTCTTTGCCACCTAAACATCAAATAGGTAGCTCTTATCTGCATTAGTTGACCTAACCAGACCTGGGTAGTGACTACTGTAATTATCATTATTATTATCTTATATCTTATTTCAGTATTCCCATTCTGTGGTCTAAAATCTTACTACTGCCAACATGGTTTTTTTTTCTATAAATGTGTTAGGCCACAGTAAGTTTATAATACTTCGATTCTCCCAAAGCATCAGGGTTTACAAATTTTACTGCTATACTATTAACAAAAAATCTTTAGCTCATGTGGCAGTAATTCTTTTTTAGCATCTAGCACTGTTAGCTGATTTTTTTTTTCCAGTTTAGTACAGTGCACTTTAAATCTTGGTCCCAGATAATTAAAAAGACCTTTCATCTCTTATCCATATCATCTTGGGCCAATTGGTTCATCTCTCTGTTTTTTTGTTTTTTGTTTTTGTTTTTTTTTCTGAATGATAACTCATAGCAAACTTCCTTGCTACTAGGTGGCTGTTACTTATGCTTCCACAGGTGTTCCTTTGACTTTTATCATTTATTTAGTGAAAGCTCAGTGATAAATTACCATCACATTTCCCCCTTTAACAAATGTCTTGTATTGTAAATGTAACATGTTTAGCACATTGACTTTTTTCCTTCTGCATCTTCTAACTTGACTAGCTTGCGCTTTGAGGTTTTTGTATTCTTTTAATACAAAAATTATACGCTGTCTGCATACATGTGCTTCCTGCCTTCTGAAATGCACAATATTGGGAGATAAGAAAATAAGCCCAGATAACAGAAAATTACCTAATTAGTAAGATGGTCATTATCATAGACATTATCATAGTCGTTATCATTGGCTGCCTTCTAGTTATTATGCTCATATCTCCACAAGTCTCATTTACTCCCTACTCCACCCAGCATTCTTCATATGACCTAGAGATTCTCTGATTCCCACAAACTGAACATAGTATTAAAATAACTGGTGGTGTCTCCATTTCAATTTTATCAGTGAGTAAATGTCATTTATCTTATGTAGTCACATTTTAGGCATTTTTCTAGAATAGCTATTTAAAACTAATTGGGCTATATGTGGTGGCTTATGGCTATAATCCCAGCATTTGTGAGGCCAAGGCAAGAGGATTACATGAGTCCAGGAGTTCAAGGCCAGCCTGGGGAACAGCGAGACTTCATCTTTACAAAAGAAAGTTTTTTTTTTTTTTTAAATTAGGTGTGATGATGCATGCCTGTAGTCTTAGCTGTTCAGGAGTCTGAGGCAGAGGATTGCTTGAGCCCAGGAGTTCGAGGCTGCAGTTAACTCTGTGATTGTGCTGCTGCACTCCAGCCTTAATGACAGAGTGAGACTCTGTCTCTTAAATAAATGAAATTAATTGGTCCTAAAGTCCTTAGGCTTCTTTCTAGAGCTTCTCAGTTGTAAATATTTTTGAACTTTTGCATGTTTCTCAGTATAAAATTCTTTCAGCTGAGAAAACATTTGTGGTAGGTAGCCCAAAATTATTATTTCAGTTTTTCAGATCAGATATACTCATAGCTGCCATGTCCTTTATCTCTTAAGCAAGGTTTTCATAATGAAGCAAAACTCTGTATCTCCTTATTTTTTCCCTATATGAGTCTGTTACTAAAGGTACTTGATGTAAAAACTAGTGAAATTCTCTCCATTCCAGAATGTATCTTGTCTGATTTAACTTCTTTTTAATTGGGTAGGGTTTTAAACTGCTCAGAATGAGACATTGAAATTGATGAACTCCATTCTTTCATCATCTGGCCTATCTGTTCTATTATGTCTTCCACTATTGCAGTTGAATGCCATGGCCAACCGAGCAGCTGGGAAAGGGTATGAAAATGAAGACAACTATGCCAACATTCGCTTCAGATTCATGGGCATTGAGAACATCCATGTGATGCGGAGCAGTCTGCAGAAACTTTTGGAAGGTATAGAGATTTCACCTTGGCTAGGCAAGAGGCCATAGCTTTGCATTATTATGTAAGCAGAAAGCATGCCTGATTTGGGGTGAAATATAAAAGCAAGCAGGTGAGCAGTGTCAATATGTGGCTAAGTGTTCAACTATAGTACGAATCTAGCTTACATAGTACTAAATTATAGCAGTGTTGGTCTGGGAAAGAGACTAAGATCTTCAGTTTCGTAATTCAATAAAGTTCATCTGGGTCTAGTTGGTATGAAAATTATTTCTCTCTGTGGAATTACAGAGGTTGATTTTCAGGGATAGGCAAACCAATGTAAGTATTTTATAAATTGGGATTCAATTTTATCATCCTCAAGGTAAGAAATTACCTTATTTAATTTGCTATCAGGATTTAGTCAGATTTTATCACTGTGCTGATGAAGTTGAATTTAGACTTCAAAGGAATAAAGTTGATATCAGACAGTTTTGGTGATCTGTTATTGACTACAAAATGATTAGGGTCAGAAAGGGGGCAAGGTGGGATTGGGGCCTTACAAGACTCTTGGATATAGAGAGCATTTCTTCTAAAACTACTACCCAGGATTCCACAATGTGGTGTGCCAACTCAGGCAGAGATAGTGAAAACCTGCCTTCTTTAGTGAACTCCCCATTCTTCCTCTCCTTTCTTCAATTTTGTACTGGTGTAGTCTGCCAGGACCTCTCCTTTATACCATCATTGCCAGATCTCATCTGCTTAGTCTGCATCTCTTTTAAAATATTAGTGTCCCTCTTCCTTAGGTCTCTTTTCTTTTTCTTTTCTTTTTTTTTTTTTGCCCCAGAATATTTTATGGAAGAAGACTTTGCTTTATAGGTTTTTAAGGTAAAAGATTTACCTCTGCTGGATAATCATTGCAAGGTGCATAAAAGTTAACTGGTAATTTTTTTTCAACCTGTTGACAGAACAGGGCTACAGGGAGTAGACGGGGGAGTGGGAGTAGAGACAGAAGCTGAGGGCCTTCAGAGTTAGCATAGGTGGGTGGAATTAGGATAGGGATCAAATATGTTTTCTAATCAGAGGAGATGTGTTTTCCTGTAGATGCTAACTCAATCTTCTGCCTCTCTTCTTGAGAGATTTCTAAGGGCTTGAGAGTGGGTTCTATAGCATGATAAAGCAGAGGCCCAGGCTAAGAGATCTGGTAGGCTTTAGACCCAGTTCTGTCCCTAACTCATTGTGTGCTTTCTAACTACTCATTTAAACTTTCTGCCTCAGCTTCCTCACTTACAATATGAAGATCCACTTTCTCCCCTTTCTTAATTAATAAATTGAGTTGATTGTGAATTTCAATCTCTGCTTCCTTTTCTACCTTAGTTTGTGAATTGAAAACTCCAACAATGAGTGAATTTCTTAGCGGCCTGGAGAGCTCAGGGTGGTTAAGACACATTAAAGCTATTATGGATGCTGGAATTTTCATTACAAAGGTAATAATCAGGACTTTTAAAATTTGCACTGACTTTAATTATGTGATATGTTGAAGTAGTAGTGTGCCATGGTGGAAAGAATATTAAAAAGAAACCTAGTTTCTAGATTCAGCTCTGCCACTGATTCACTGTGTGCCCTTGGGCAAGTCTCTTTTCTTCTCTGTGTCTCATTTTTGAACAAAAGTCTAATGCTGTGACTTTCAGGCAGCCACAGATTTCTTTAGGAATATGATTAACTCTCTCCCCTATTGGAAAAATGAACATATGATGATGCATACAGAAAATGAACTTCAATTTCAGGGGGTCCACAGACCCCTGAACATCACATTAAAAACTCTTAGGCGATATCTAATTGATAATTGATAATAATTAATCTCTAGTTCAGTTATTCTGTGTTGTATTTTTATGTTGATTCTAAGGTATAAAATACAAGATTGAGTGTGACATAAATGCAGAGCTTATATATCTTTGAGTTTTCAGAACTCTGAGTACAAAGACCTATTTTTTAAACTCCTTGATAGATCTGCCTCTAAATGCAGCCTAGTCAGGCTTTGTCACCCTGTATTTATGCTGACTTATTTATTTTCTGATCTCTGGGACCCTAGGCTCTGTAGCCTTTGTTAAGTGGTTTGTTTTCTTAAAAAATAAATAAATAAAAATAAATCAGTGTATATTTTCTCATTTTTAAGTTTTGTTTTTATATATTCCTACATGAGAACTCTCCCTCTTCATCCCACCCCCATTATTTGGTAAAAGTAAAGGCAATATTGACTTTTCTTCCATCTGCTATAATTTTCTCAGTTGAAGGCAATGTTATATATATGTTATATATAGCCTCTGGCTTAAAAGGTTTGAAGATTGTATATAATTAACTGCCTTAAATATCCAAACCCTAATATCCTACCTTTTTGCTTTCCTAGTCCTGTTGCCTGTACTTTTCATTGTTATTAATGTTTACTATGTGACCTTGTCACTTGTTTCAAGCCCACTCTTCTAACAATTCTTTGTATTATTCCTTTTTCATAGATTCTACATCAATATATCTATAGTTCCTTCTGAAACCAAATTTATTAGACCAAAGATAGTGAGGACGGAGGAGAGGGAGATTTGAGAGACAGTACAGCCTTATAAATATTGGTTGAATTAAAATGAGTGGCCAAAAAGATAGGCTTGGATTACACAGTGTTTTCTGTGTTCCTATCTCTATTTCCACCTATCAAGTATCCCAGGCTTGAGAACCTCAGTTAGCCTTAAATTCTACCTCTTCTCCTCCATCTGGCTGTTACCAAGTCCCATGTGTTCTGCTTAAAAAGTGTTTCTCAAATCTGTCTTTTCTTCCCAGTCTCCACTGCTACTTCTCTAGTTAAGATAGCCTCCATTCATTGCCCACAGTATAATAACTTCTTAACTGTTTTACTTGTCTCTAGTAGTCACTCTCTAGTTTGGCAACCAAATTGCTACTAAAGTTTTTTTTCTTGAACATGTGTGATTGTGTTACTTTAAACTCAAAATCCTCCATTGGTTATCAATTCTATTGCCAATAAGACCCCATAAGCTTGACATTCAGAGTCTTTCACAATCTTGCCCCAACTTGGCTGTAGTGGACTTCTTGATTCTCTAACATACTATGTTACTTCTTTTTCTCTGTCTTTCTTTTTCAAATGTTTATTTTATTTACGTATTTTCTCATAAAAAAGCAATGTATGTACATTATCAAAGAAGTAAATATTTCAGAAATACATAACATAAAATGTAAACATTCTCCATAGTTTGTCCCACAACATACATACATCACTGATACATAACATAAACATTCTCCATAGTTTGTCCCACAACATACATACATCACTGATGGTAGTTTAATGTTTATGCCCCTCAATCAGCACTGTCCATTTGAACTTTTTGTGATGATGGAAATATTCTGTATCTGTACTATCTAATACAGTACCCACTACATGTGGAAACTGAGCACTTGAAATGTGGCTAGTGAGACTGAGGAACTGAATTTATGATTTTATTTAGTTTTAACAAATTCAAATTTAAGTAGCTATAGTCTAGTGACTACCATATTGGACAGTGCTGCTGCTCTAGAGTTTTTCAACATATAGAGTTACACATATTAATACTTTTAAAAATGAGCTCATACTGTGCATACTGTTTTTTTCTTTTTGAGACAGAGTTTTGCTCTTGTTGCCCACGCTGGAATTCAGTGGTGTGATCTTGGCTCACTGTAACCCCCACCTCCCAGGTTCAAGGGATTCTGTTGCTTCAGCCTCCCAAGTAGCTGGGATTACAGGAGCATGCCACCACACCTGGCTAATTTTTGCATTTTTAGTAGAGATGGGGTTTCGCCATGTTGGCCAGGCTCCTCTTGAACTCCTGACCTCAGGTGATCTGCCCGCCTTGGCCTCCCAAAGTGCTGGGATTATAGGCGTAAGCCACCAGGCCCAGCCCATACTGTTTTTTAATTGATTTTTTGTACTTACTGTTTAATGAGCATTTTTAAAGATAGTTCAGTCAGTCCTACATCATTCTTTTCAGCAACTATGTTATATTCCATTGTGGTAATTTACCTTAGTCCCCTGTTGATGGAAAATTTAGTTGTTCCTAATTTTTCACTAATGCAGATATTGCTGCACCAAATACCTTTAAACATATATCTTTATAGAAATGAATTTTCGGAGTCAAAGAGTATGAATGTTTCAAATTTTAATAGATGTGGCCACATTGCCCTCCAAATAGGTAGTACCAGTTTCCATTCCTACCAAAAGTGCCTATTTTTCCATTTTGGCAACAATGGTTAAATCAATCTTTTTGCTCTTTGCCAATGTGATAGGTGATAAATTTTATATTGTTTTAATTTGTATTTCTTTAATCATTAGTGAAATCCAGCATCTTTTTCTGTCCACCAGTGACTTTTGACTCCATTTGAGCCCTAAACAAAGAACATGGTTGCTACTGTCATGCTCTGCTACTACTTGACTGCTACTACTTAAGCTGTCTGCTTAATTGAGAAGTTAAAAAGGTTGAAAAACTTTTTTCCACATCTCTTTAACTCCTTTTTTACCTGCAACCCGACTACCTTTCTAGGAATGTCATTTTTTCTTGTACCCCTATTACAAAGATTACTCATTCTCCCAAATCATATGATCCACACGGCCCCGAGCAGTTTCACTATTCTTCTTGCTCCTTACAAAAGCCCCTCTTCCTTTCAGATCTATTTCATTTAGCTATACTACCCTCTACACCTCCTAGTTACTCTTCCTCTTTCATTAAGGATGTTAGGAACGGCCTTGCCACCTTTTCTGTCCTGGTTGTTCCCCTCATCTGAAGAAATTTGAATGTCAATGTACAACTTATCAAACATTCTGTACTTAATAATTCTTTGAACTTTTATAATTCCAGCTTTTGCATCCTTAATCCAGTTAGAATAGTTCTTCTCTCTCTTGGAAACCTCTGCACTTTTAACTCCTCTTTTCCCAAACTTCTTCTTTCTTCCCTGTATACCAAGACCTGGTGGTGTAGCACTTCATCCATTCTACCTTGTCCTTATCCTTCCTCTCTACCTGCCCTGCTAGCCACGGTCATTCTCTGCTGTTACAACCTGACCTCTAAGCATTGCTGCAAATAAATAAATCCCATAGACATGTTAGTTGGTATTATCACAGATTTATGCCTTGTAGTCATAGCTGTGGTCCTGTAATCACAGGGCCACAGAACAGTTATTTTTTGTGTACCTGGTTGGCTCCCAGTCCTGTTTCACCAGGCAGATATTCCTTGTGCCTTGCTTTCAAACTGGCTACACCATGGTAATGCCCCTCTCTTTAAGCACATATTGAAACGTATCCTTTATGAAAAAACATATATGATGCCTTTTCTTCTCACTATTATCCTTACCAACTTCTTTGCTATCTCAGAGAATATGGTGTTCCATCTTCTGTGTAAGGGTACTCACTCTACCTATATTCGAAATTCCATCTCTTCCTACTTTAAGGAACCAACTCTATCATTTAAATCTCTTTGTCCTGCATTTTCGATCTGTTCTTTTCAACTGGCTTCTTCCTTCAGTACTATGCTCAAATATTTTCTGATTCCTAAAGAAAAAGTACTTTTTCAATCTTCTTCTAGCTACTGCCCTCTTTCTTCTTGGTAAGAGCCTTCTGAAAAGTAGTTGATTTTTCCTATTAGTAATTCATCTCCCTTCACCTTTTAGTCCACTATGATCCTATTTTCATACAATTACTGTTGCTCTTGCAGAGGTCTTATGACCTTTGACTTGTAAAATCTGAGTCACTTTTTAGTCTTCACTCTATTTTAACTTTTCTGCTGCATTTGGCACTGTTCACTCCTTTTCACTTTGAACACTTTTTGTAGTTCTGACTTTTATCCAACTGCTCCCTCCTGGCTCTCTTTCTACCTTTTAGGCTTTTTTTTTTTTTTTTTTTTAAACAGTCTGACTCCTGTAATAATCCACCTTCCTCTACTGAAAGGTGGATTATTATAGGAGTCATTGCTTTATAAGGTCTTTTCTTTTGTCACATTTTGTCTCTCCCTGGACAGCATCAGCTATGCACACAGTGTATACTATATCTCTATTCAGATAGTGGTGAAATCCATACTCTGGCTTAGATCTTTCTCTCTCCTGTACTTCAAAGCCACATATTCAACTGTCCTGCTGGACTTTCCAATAGATGTCCCTGAACTAACTCAAAACTCATCATGGCCAAAACAGAAATCTTACATACCCCGACTACTACCTAAAACTTGCTTTTGTGTTTATTATTTAATCTAATGCCACTACCTTCCACCTGGTTGCTAAACCACACATTTCAGAGTTATCATTGACTTTTCCTTCTCCTTTATCCCATGTCTAGTCTCTCACTGTCCTGTTAAAATGTTCATACTTAAAATCCCTTTTCTGCTTTTCAGCCCCACTGCTACTACCTTACCTCAGGCCTATATGGACTTTCACGATTTTAGTAGCTCCCTAACTGGTCTTCCTACAAGCAAACTCATATACTCTCAGTCCATTCTCTTTGCTGCCACCACAGCCGTCTTTCAAAGATATACATCTGGTCATGGCACTTCTCTGCTTCCAACTCCCTGTTGCCATAAAATAAAATGTATACTTGATTGGTTCGTCCCTCGCCTTCCTAGCCGTCCCTATCTCCGTATTTCCTCACTTCCAGCCTAGCCTAAGCCATTAAGGCTCTATGCCATCCCTCCTTGCAATGTACGTGCTATTACATCATTCTCCTGCCTGGAATCTCCTTTCCTTCTGGTCAATTCGGTAAATTTCTATTCATCTTTCAAGACCTACTTTAGTTGTCTCCTCCTCCTTGGTTATCTTTTTTGCCTTTGTTATACCTGGCATGGATGTTTATCTTTTATTTTTCATTGGATTGTAGTCATGCATTTAAGTGTTTGTCTCTTTTGTATTCCCAGTGTACATCATAGTGCCTCTTGTACAGTTGCTCAGTAATTATTGGCTAGGTGTGTGGGTGAATGAAGGAGTGAATTAATGTCTTTTTTCACCTAAGGAAATCCTACTCTTTCTTCAAGGGTCAAGCTTCCCTGGCTCCTGCCAAATATCATTACTACACATTACTTTATGTTAGCAGTAATTTTTCCATTGTGTTTTAATTATTTATTTATCTTTGGTCACCCTGACTAGTTTGTGGGTTCCTTGAAAGAAGAAAGTGAGTCTTATCTTTGTATTTCCAATACCTGCCTCATAGAGGTACAAAATTGTTAGAATGAATAAGTGAATGACCAATGTGTACCATTGCCATTGTACAATTTCTCAGGTTGAATAACTGCCCAGATTTTTACATCATTCTGATTGTATTTATGCAATCACTTTTTAAAGCGACCTAAGACAGGCAAGCACCTCCATCTTAATTTGGAAGCCTTTGTGTTAGTAAGACTAAAACAGCTAGAGGAGATTGTTGTCAGATCTGGGACTAGAATGCAGAGCTGTCTGTGTTTTTGAGTGTGAATTATTCCTCCTATTTACCTATTCCTCTGAGAATTGATCCTTGTTTTCTTCAGAAGTTTTGTGAATTTAGAACTCCCCTTGTCTTTCTTTTTGCCCTGTGTTATGGGTTAGTTTTGATACTTTTTTTCCTATTTGGTAAGCTTTCCTTCTCTTTCAGTCCATTATTTTTCTTTTCATTCCCCATAGAGGATGCTAACGTTATGAGAAAAAACTAATGTAGCCCAGTAAGACTAAGTTCTCTGTGCTTTAGGGGCTGTATTTGGTAACTATTTAACCCAACAAGCTATGCAAGGGTTGCTTATGGTACTTTTGCTTCTTGTTTTCACAGGCAGTGAAGGTAGAAAAGGCCAGTGTCTTAGTCCATTGTTCTGATGGGTGGGACCGCACAGCACAAGTCTGCTCGGTAGCCAGCATCCTCCTAGATCCATTTTATAGGACATTCAAAGGACTCATGGTAAGAGAGCATGCTGCTATATTTTACTTTGTTTTAGTGGTAGATTGCGACAAAATAAAAAAAAATTCTCAAACTTTTTTTTTTTTTTTTTTTTTACCAGAATTAGCTCTACATCTAAAAAAATAGCTTCCCCCCCCGCCGCAATTTAGCTCATTTTCTTTAAATTTAGGTACGTACTATCTGTATACTTTCTTTTGTATGTTCAGCATATTTCTTACCTATCAGAAGGTAAATTTTATGTAATAGGCTACTGTACAGAGTAGGAAAAGCTCAAAAAGTTTGCAAAACTGAATGGATGTCCGAGGGGCTCATTATTTTTAACATGTCAGCTGTTTGAATGTCTTGACTCATGATTGTTTTCTAGTGCTGAATCTGAATCTAAGGCCTCTTAGTTGATCTTTCTAAGAAACAGAACTCACAATAGTGGTTTATTCTCAGTTTTTGGAAAGCTTTGTTGTTTTTTTTTGAGATGGAGTGTTGGTCTGCCACCGAGGCTGGATTGCAGTGGCACGATCTTGGCTCACTGCAACCTCTGCCTCCTGGGTTCAAGTGATTCTTATGCCGTAGCCTCCCAAGTAGCTGGGATTGCAGATTTACATTACCACGCTCGGCTAATTTTTGTATTTTTGGTACAGAGCTGGTTTCACTATGTTGGCCAGACTGGTCTTGAACTCCTGGCCTCATTTGATCTGCCCTCCATGGCCTCCTGAAGTGCATGCCTGGCTGGAATTTTTTTTTTTTTTAATGGTTAAAAATAGTTTTGTTACTGGTATAAAGCTAAGAGCTGCCTTTGGATTTCTGTTTTTCAAAGGTTGAGTTTAATATCATGCTTATCAGGATTACATTTAGTTCTGGCTCAGTGGCTTGTCACACATCATGTGAAACCCAAAGGAAATTTGACTCTGGATATATCTAAGAGCATCTGAAATCTGAAGGCACCCTATATAGGCCTATGAATGAAATCTAAGTTACTTACTTCATTATCATTTATGAAATAACTTTTTTATGATCGGTTCAATCATTCAGTAAAGTGTTTTGACATTCTTGTATATATGGTTAATTTTATGATTTTCCTAATACGAACTCTTTCTTTTGTATAAAATGAAGATCTTGATAGAGAAGGAATGGATATCCATGGGCCACAAATTTTCCCAAAGGTAAAAATATACTCATTTTGATGGAAAGGGCTGAGGATAATTCATTAGGGTGAAGTATATCATAACCCCAGAATGTACATGTAGAGAAAGCAACAGGAGGTTGAACATGGCATAAATCTCTTTTTATCAAGAAATAAGTATTCTAGATAATATGCTAGTGTACTTATGTGACAAAGGTAAGCAGAATACTATGTCTGCTTTCAAGGAGTACAAGTAATTATATCAGATTCTTAAATATTTCAAGGAAGAACAAGGCATCACAGGCTACAGAAGGAAAAGTGCTTAATTTTGCATGAAGAGGTTAGGGTAGGCTTCCAGGAGTATATAGCGTTTAAGAATGAATTTTTGGAAATGAATAGAAATTTAATAGGAAGAACAAGGGAATGAAGAGGTCATTCAGATAGAGGGACTAATATCAAGACAATGCACCTTTCAACCTTTTGTAAGAAAAAAGACAGTTGTGAGATTTCTTCTTTTTTAAGGAGTGAGGACAAGGATTTATATTTATCTGTTATCTGCTATAAACCAAACAGCCTCACTAAGGCTTTACCGATCTTATCAGGACAATCAATAAATATTTGACAAATACCTAACAATGTGCTGTATATTATATCAGACACTAAGCTGATTCCAAAGACAAATAAAATTTGAGTTTTGGCCAGACACAGTGGCTCACACCTGTAATCTCAGAACTTTGTGGGGCTAACATTGATGAATCGCCTGAGTTCAGGAGTTTCAGACCAGCCTGGCCAACATGGTGAAACCTCGTCTCTACTAATAATACAAAAATTAGCCAGGCATGGTGGCAGGTATCCATAATCCCAGCTCCTCAGGAGGCTGAGGTAGGTAAATTGCTTGAACCCGGGAGGCAGAGGTTGCAGTGAGCTGAGACCACACCATTGTACTACAGCCTGAGTGACAAGAGCGAAACTCCGTCTCAAAAAAAAAAAAAAAGAAATTGAGTTGTACCCTAAGGAGATTATAATTCAGGTCTTATTTAACCCCATTGATATGCATTAATTTAATTTCATTTGGTTTCCACTCTGTAGCCATTTGGGTCTATTTATTAATTTTTCCTTCACCCACAAACATTGGAGCAGTCATTATGTTAGGTATTGAGGAAACTGAGTTGAATCAGATATAGTTCCTATCTCTTCTATTAAAGAAAAGTCAGTGATTGACAGTGTAGTATGATAAGTGCTTAAGACAGAGGCAAACATAAACAAAGGAACTTTACCCATTCTGGGGCAAAGAAGCCTTCCTGGAATAGGTGACATTTTAACTGAGATTTAAAGTATGAGTAGATGTTATTTAGAAAGGGAGAAAGCATTCTAGCACTGATGTGTTTGAAACCATAAAGACATTAAATAGGATCATTTATTTGAGGAGCTGCAAGCAATTCAGTGTGGCTGGATCAAAGGATGTGTAGGGAGAATAGAGGAAATGAGGCCAGGGAAGTGGAGCCAGTGAGGATAAGATCATATAAAGCCCCCTCCCTTTTTTTTTTAAAGCTAAAAGATTTGTTTTGTGTACATAGTAAAGCTATATTGGAGGACTTTGAACAAGGCAGTGACATGATGTTCAGATCTATATTTTACAGATATCTCTGTGACAGCATGTGGAAGATTGAAATTGGTGACAAAGGGCTGAATTAGTAGGCTCTCAGAATTGATGAGGGCCTGAAAAAAGACAAATGCAATGGGATAGATACAAAGGTATTCAGGAAGTAGGACTCACCAGAAGATGGGAGAAAAAGTCTAGTAAAACTCAAAGGTTTCTGCCATAGGTAACTGGGTTTATTGAGATAGAGGATACAGGATAATACAGGGCAGGTTTTGGGGGAAAGTTGGCTTCAGTTTGGGTCTTATTTGGCATGGGGCATCCAAGAGAAGATATCCAATAGGGAGACTATTCAGTAGTAATCTGGAACTCACTAGTTCTGGATTGGATAGAGAGGTGGTATAGAGGGAGTTATCTGCTTATAACTGGTGGTTTAAACCATGGATTCAGATAAGATAACTCAAAAAATTGTATATAGAGGCAGAAGAGCCAAGTGGTGGCACACAGCCTTGGATAATACTGACACCTGAAAGTCTAGTGAAGAAAGAAGTTCAAGAAGGTTGCTATGAAAGAGTGGTTAGTGAGGTAAGAATAAATCTAAGGATAGGAAGGTTGCTATGAAAGAGTGGTTAGTGAGGTAAGAATAAATCTAAGGATAGGAAAGAGGAGAATCTCAAGAGAGTAGACAACAATGTCATATGCCTCAGAATAACCCAATAATCGACTTTGGCAATATGCAGGTTTTAATGATCTTTAGTGATAACTGGTTGAGTAAAGTGGTGAAAGCAAAAGCCAAATGGTTGTGAATGGAGGCATGAGTGAGGGATGAGGAAGTGGAATGTGAGTATATAAATCTCTTTCAAAAAACCTTGGCTCTAAAGTGGGTAGAAGAGAAGGGGTGGGATTTGGGTTTGAGGAAGTGTATTTCAAGACAGGAGATTTGAGCAGTTTCTTATGCTGAGAAGAAAGAAACATTAAAGAAGATAAGGTGGTAAGGTTGAAGATATGAAAAAACAGTGGGTTTTTGGTAGAGTAAGCCTTCCGGGCAAACAGGAGTGACAATTCCAAATGAAAGATTAACTTGAGCTAAAATGAAGAACAGCTTTTCCATGGAGATTAGGTGGAAAGACAGGCAGAGAAGGTGCTGTATGTGCTTATTAGAGGCAGAAGTTAGACTTCTTTTTTCTACTTAATGGCCTTGATATTTTTCAGTGACACTGGAGTGAAGGAAGATATGAAATGGATTCGGGTTTTGAGAAAAGTAGTTTAAAATTTGTAAGAGCTGTAAAGGTAACGAGAAAATGGTGTTAACCTGCATGAAGATTATTTGACAGCAGTTAAGACACAGCTGAATATGGAGACTAATTTTGAATGGTGTGAATTGTATGATTTTATAATTTTCTTGAGCATTATTAGGATTATTAGAAGCAGAGAACATAGCTTTTCAGGCTGATCTGTGGTTGTATTTAGAAGGAAAATAATGACAAGAAAGACCAGAAAGTTGAAAAAAATGGGGAGAGAGTAGTTAATAGGGCAGATCATGGAATTTAGGCTTGATAAGGAAAAAGAGAAACCAGTAGGAATCTGGCATGTGGAGATATCCTGAAATGAGGCCTGAAGGAGTTAAGAAGATGAGCAGCTTTTGGGAATATAATATATGGTGTTCAGAATGGGATACTGTGATTAAGATTTCAAAGACAGAGTAAAAACTGCTAGCCAGCCTTTGGCCAGTGGATTCAAAAGGGTGGAGTAGAGGTAAAGATCAGTGAAGGGAATTTGATTTGTGTTGGTTAAGGAATCTGTTAAGCTAATGTAAGTCATCTACATCAACACCAAAGCTTAAGACCATCAGATTGTTCAGAGAATGTAGGGAAGTGACTCAGAGATTCTAGAAGACATCATTGAGGAAAGAGAAGGTAAATAAGCTAATAGCATGCCCCATAAAGGAAGTGTTTTTAAGGGCATAAAAAATAATAGTACCTTAGAAGCAGCAGTAGGTGCAAGGAGAAAGCTAAACCCACCTCTGCTTTATTTTAGTATTACGGTATGTGGAAAGTGGAATGATCAGCATTCTCCATTTTATTTTGACCCCAAGGAAAGGTAGTATCCTTGTGAACCATGCTGTAATTATATCAGAAGGTAGAGAACCTGCAGTGTAGAAACTAAGGGTGCTGTGTTGGTTTCCAGTGGAATAGTGTTTCCAGTGGATGATAGGGTTGGTAAAGAGAGCATTATGGGGAGGAAATATTAAACAGTTCTGGGATGAGGTTTCATTCATGCACTTAATAAAGGGGGTTTCTTAAATACCTATTTTGTGCCAGGCACTATGCAGTAAACAATATAGTTGAGGTCGTTGCTCACACAGAGCTAAATGTAGCTATTTAAATTAAATTAAAATTAAATACAATTCAAAAGTCAGTCAGCCACACTACCTACATTTCAAATGCTTAACAGTTAGCGGCTGCTATATTGGACAGCACAACTGTAGAAATTTTCCATCATTGCAGAAAGTTCTATTGGAAAGAGGGTGTAAAAGAAAATAGATGAGATGACCAAAGGGCTTACAGTCTGGATGATAGTAAAGGATACCAGCAGCTAAGAGGTCTTCTGGGATTAACTAGCTTTGAGATTCTGGCTGGCATTTTGGTATGAGGTGTTTCCTTGCCACTGCCAACAGGGACAAAAGATGACCTGGTTATGGCCTACTCCCAACAGTGTAATCCTTGATGCTAACTAGTGTCTTTCTTTACCTTTATTTGCATCTCTCAGGTGTGGCCACCTCGATGGAGACTCTAAAGAAGTGTCCCCTGTCTTCACCCAGTTCCTAGACTGTATTTGGCAATTAATGGAACAGTTTCCTTGTGCCTTTGAGTTTAATGAAAACTTCCTGCTGGAGATCCATGACCATGTTTTCTCCTGCCAATTTGGAAACTTCCTTGGAAACTGCCAGAAGGATCGGGAAGATCTAAGGTGAATTTACTTTGTGAGAAAACACTAAATAGGCAGAAGGGGGTCAGTGCAAAAAGAATGTACCTACCACCCTGAATTTGGCATAGTAGTCAAGAAAAGGGGAGGATATAACAATAATAAAAAAACTTTTGAAGCAGAAAGCACTCAGTGTTTGCACAGAGATCTTTCAGAACCATGAGATTTCTTATCTGTAAAATAGGGATAATAATGCCTACTTTTTAGAGCAATCATGAGGAGCCAATAAAATAATGGATGTACAAAACCTTTGCAGATAATTAATTGCTGTGCAGGTATGAGTAGTCATTATCTACTTCTCATATCACAGATCACAAACTAGCAGCTCATAGGCCGAACCCAACCCAACAGGCATGGTTTGTTTAGTGTGTGGAGTATTTCTTAAAAACGAATTAGTTGCCAACATTTTTGTTTATTTCTATAGGTTTTGGGGGAACAGATGGTATTTGGTTACATGAGTAAGTTCTTCAGTGGTGATTTGTGAGACTTTGGCACACCGATCTCCAGAACAGTGAACACAATTTGTAGTCTTTTATCCCTCACCCCCTTCCCACCCATTCCCCCTGAGTCCCCAAAGTGCATTGTGTCATTCTTATCCCTAGTTGCCAACATTTAAATATTAGGAGATTTCACATTAAATTCAATTATTTTAGGATGTTTTCCCTAAATATTCTGAAAACTAAGGAGCTCTGGCAACACTAGATTCTATTTTCTCATGATAATAATAAGCTAGAGCTGAATAGTAGCTGTTCCATTTGGATGAGGCAAACTTACTCTTGTTGACTGCAGTTCTTACCATTCTCTATAGTTTATTCTTAGCCCATTTCTAATGTTATCTGCCTAGTTCTAGTAGGTAGTTGAGTTTGCACCCCTTATTTAAACTTAACATCTTCACAATATATGAGACATAAGTACTTTTTTTTTTTTGAAATTGACAAGATGGAGCTATGAACAGTGTTTTCCTTATTTTGAGACAGAGTAAAAGAAATAGGAAAGTAGCTGTTTTACAGCTCACTCCTATTTCACAGCTGTTGGCTGAGTTAGCAGTTAGCCCAACTCTCAGGCCCCTTTCTAGCATAGGCAGGATGAGATTACTTCTCTGTGATTTAGTTTTCCTGTCAACATAGAGAACAATAATGAGTCTTTCTGTTTTAACATCAGTACTTACTTGGTAGTTTCTCTTTTGTTGCCATGTATGTTTCTCTCTCTCTCTCTCTTTACAACCAGACCTTTGTCACTTTCTCCCCAAGTATTTTTAAGATATTCATTATGTCTTTAAGTTATTTCCCTAGGCATTAAAACTCAGGATCTTTTCCATAATCTTTTTCCTTCTCTTAAAATCAGGTCAATATATGTAGTATTTTTCATACAAATATGAATATTCATTTAAAAACTACAACAATTGAACATTTTAACATATTTTAAAGTAGCGTCTAGTTAAACAGAAGTGTCATTTATTCATGAATGGAAAAGCATGGGTTTTAGAGTCAGGCAGACTTGGGTTCAAACTTTGGCTCTGTCACCTACTAGCTATGTGACCTTGAGCAAATTAATATTTAGTCTCATTTTCTCATTAGTAATTTTGGGCTAAAATATCTTATAAGGTTTTATTGGGAAAATTTAAGGAGGTATTTTAGGTAATGGGTCTGGAATAGTGTTTGAACACGTAGTAAATACTCAACAAATTAGTTACATTACCAGTGCAGTATGGTTTTTTTTCATGCTATAAACCAATACATAAACCACGGCCTTTGGCCTCACTGAAATACTCTGACAATTGTATAAGTTACAGGACAACAATTTTAGGTCTAACTACTCATACCTCTCTTCAGTTCTCCTTTAGCTTTCTTTGGCATGGTGTGTATGCAAATGACCTTCTCATGAATGGTTATACAGCAGCTCACATTGGGAACCCGTGGATCCCATGTATTTTGAGGTGTTAACTAAGGGACTTGCTTTCTGGTTGAGTAGGCTCCCCATGGTCTCAACTCAATAAGAATTAATTTTGTAATATAAATGCCATAATCTTTAGTTGTCCACCTGGGAGAACTCACAGATATTTTCTATTATAAATTTTGAATTCTCTGTCACTGTCTTAAACCTTCTGAAGGGAGGAGAAGCTGGCTTTAAATAAAATGAAATATAGAAGAGCCAGAAATTCACTCCATGGGACCTATCTCTTAACTTACCAGACTTTCAAAAGCAATTAAAAAATTTTTTAAACCAGAAAAGTCATTAGTTCATAAAATCCTTGATTTGGAATATAACTTGGAGGTCACATTTAACGATGAGGAAACAGGCCCAGAGAAAGCTCGGGATTTTCTTAAAATCACACAGCTATTCCACAGCAGAAGCTGGACTTAGAATCTCCTGTTCTCCACATGGACACAGGGAGGGGAGCACTACACACTGGGGTCCATTGGGGGGAAATGGAGGAGGGACGGGGGGGTGAGGAGGTGGGAAGTGATAGCATGGGGAGAAAGGACAGATACAGGCGAGGGGACGGAAGGCAGAAAACCACACTGCCATGTGTGTACCTATGCAACAATCTTGCATGTTCTTCACATGTACCCCAAAACCTAAAATGCAATAAATAAATAAATAAATAAATAAATAAATAAAAAAGAATCTCCTGTTCTCCAGTATGGAACTCTTTCTAATCTCTGATTTATTTTAAAGATGGATAAATTGAAGCCCAGATAATTTGTTACTCCATCAACACTTATTAGCCACTTATTTTTCGTCTGTCATATCCTGTCCTCCTTTCTTGAGTTGGGTTACTTATTAGTAAAATTTGCTGCTTATCATGTTCAACAGGACTATTGAGATTGCTTGCTTGCTGCTTTTAATTTTTTGGCTTGTTTTTCTTTTCTTACAGAATCTATGAGAAAACACATTCTGTGTGGCCTTTCTTGGTTCAGAGGAAATCAGACTTCAGGAACCCTCTCTATAAAGGCTTCACTATGTATGGGGTACTCAATCCTAGTACTGTGCCCTACAACATTCAGTAAGTTCTTAAGTTTTTCCCTCCTTTCGTATAGCAAGTCCTAGGGTCTTGGCCTCCTTGCTTCTTCTTGGATAGCTGCCACCATCTGTACAAGTCTGGCTATGGAGTAGGACATTCTGTCTTCATATCAGCCATTTTTTGCTGCCTCTGAAAACAAGAGCCCAACTTCTATTGGTTTTCAGGGCTTTGCTGTTGCCTGCTTAGGGAAATAAATAAGAAATAATAGTTGATTTATAGAAATACAAACAGTCAAGATAAAGTTTGTTTGATTCATTTACTCTTCCTTTGTATCTTCTACTTTTTTGTTCCTTCCCCAAAAAAGAAAAGAAAAATGAGGGAAACCAAGAGAGTGCTGGTAATGTTTTCTGTATTTTTCTAAAGCTTCTGCATGCTGAAGCACTCACAAAGAGTACAAAACAGAACTAAATAAATTTATTAGCTCTAATAGCTTATTTTGTGGATTCTTTATGATTTTATAAATATAAGATTGTATAATCTCTGAATAGAGAGTTTTATTTCTTCCTTTGCAATTTGGATGTCTTTTATTTCCTTGCCTAATTGTCCTGGCTAGAACTTCCAGTACAATGTTGAGTAAAAGCAGTGAAAGAAGGCATCTGTGTCTTTTTCCTGATTTTAGGGGTAAAGCTTTTAGTCTTTCACTATTGAGTATTGATGTTAGCTGTAGGTTTTTCACAAATTTCCTTTTTCATGTTTTAGCATTTTCTCTTCTGTTTCCTGTTAGTTGAGTGTACATTTAATTTTTTTGCTATTATTACATTTTAAATTTTAATCAACACAATAGTCGTACTACATATGGAGTACAGGATGATTATGCTGTATTTGTCTTTCTGTGTCTGGCTTATTTCAGTTAACATAATGTTCTCATCTGTGTTGCTGTGAATGACAGCATTGCTTTCTTTTTTGTTGCTAAAATAGTATTTCCTCATGTATACTTACCACATTTTCCTTTTCAATCCATTTATTTATGGACACTTAGATTGATTTAGTATCTTGGCTATTGTGAATAGTGCTGCAATAAATATGGAAGTGCACATATCTCTTCAACACAATGACTTCATTTTCTTTGGATATATACCCAGTAGTGAGATTGCTAGCTATATCATAGGAGAGTTCTATTTTTACTTTTTTTGGAACCCCATGCTGTTTTTCATAATGAATGTACAAATTTACATTTCCACTGACTTCACCTTGTTGTTTGTTTACTTTACTGTGAAGCAGAAGCTTTTCAGTTTGATATAATCCCATTTGTCTACTTCTGCTTTTGTTACCTGTGCTTTTAGAGTCATAGCCAAAAAATTATTGCCCAGTCCAATATAATGAAATATTTTCCCTGTTTTCTTCTAGTAGCTTCATAGCTTTGGGTCTTTCATTTAAGTTTTTAATCTATTTTGAGTTGATTTTTGTATGTGACGAGAGATAGGTATCTAGTTTCATTCTTCTGCATATGGGTATCCATTTTTTTCCAGCACCATTTATGGAAGATTGTATTTTCCCCAATGTTTGTTTTTCACACCTTTGTGTGTATATGCATTTTTTTTTTTCTGGGCTCTCTTTTCTATTCCATTGGTCGATGTGTCTTTTTTTTAGATTAGTATCATGCTATTTTGGTTACTATAACTTTGTAGTACATTTTGAAGTTAGATAGTGTGATGTCTCCAGCTGTCTTTTTTTTTTTTTTTTTTCTGATGCACAAGATTACATCAGCTGTTCAGGATCCTTTGTGGTTCCATATGAATTTTAGGATTCTTTTTTTCTATTTCTGTGAAGAAAGTCATTGGTATTTTCTTAGAGATTACACTGAATCCGTAGATTGCTTTGGTAGTATAGACACTTTAACAATATTAATTCTTCTAGTCCATGAAGATGGGATATCCCTCTGTTTGTGTCATCTTCAATTTCTTTCATCAATGTTTTGTAATTTTCAGTGTGAAGGTCTTTCACCTCCTTGGTTAGATTTATTTCTAAGTATATATTTTTTGTAACAATTGTAAGTGGGATTGTTTTCTTGATTTCTTTTTCAGATAATTTACTATTGATTTGTAAAAATGCTGCTGATTTTTGTATGTTGCAACTTTACTGAATTTGTTTATTAGCTCTAGCAGTTTTTTGGTGGAGTCTTTGGGTTTTCTATATACAGTGGACCCTTAAACAACACAGATTTCAAACGTATGAGTCCATTTTTATGTGGATTTTCTTCCACCTCTGCAACCAGTGAGTCAACAAGACCAACCCTTCTTCTTCTTCTGTCTACTCAACATGAAGATGACAAAGATGTAGATGTTTATGATAATCCACGTCCACTCAACAGTAGATATATTTTCTCTTTCTTACAATTTTCTTAATAATATTTTCTTTTCTTTAGCTTAACTTATAAGAATACAGTATATAATACATATAACATACAAAATAGGTGTTAATGATTTATGTTATTGATCAGGCTGCTAGTCAACAGTTCGCTACTAGTAGTTAAATTTTTGGTAAGTAAAAACTTATACATTGATTTTCCAATGTGCAAGGGTTTGATAAGTCTTTTTTTATTATTTTATTATTTTTATTTTTATTTATTTATTTATTATTTTTTGAGGCAGAGTCTCGCTCTGCCGCCAGACTGGAGTGCAGTGGCAACATCTCAGCTCACTGCAGCATCGAACTGCCTGGTTCAAGTGATTCTTCTGCCTCAATCTCCCAAGTAGCTGGGATTATAGACATGTACCACCGTGCCCAGCTAATTTTTGTATTTTTAGTAGAGATGGGGTTTCACCATGTTGGCCAGGATGGTCTCGATCTCCTGACCTCATAATCCCCTTGCCTTGACCTCCCAAAGTGCTGGGATTACAGGCATGAGCCACCACACCTGGCTGGCTTTGACCCTTCTAACCTTGGTATTGTTACAGGGCCAACTGTATACACTCACGTCATCTGCCACCACGGGTAGTTTAACTTCCTCATTTCCAATTTGGATAACTTTCATTTCTTTCTCTTGTCTAATTGCTGTGACTAGGAATTCAAATACAAAGTACAATAGAAGTGGTAAAAGTAGGCATTGTTGTCTTGTTCCAGATCTTAAGGGAAAAACTTCCAGGATTTCCCTGTTCAATATGGTGTTAGCTGTGGGTTTGTCATATATGGCTTTTATTTTTAGTGAGGTAAATACTTTCTATACACAATGTGTTGTTTTTATCATTAAAGGATATTGAATTTTGTCAAATGCTTTTTCTTCATCTATTGAAATGATCATATGGTTTTTGTCCTTCATTCCATTAGTGTTCTGTGTCACATTTATTGATTGGCATGTGTTGAGCCATTCTTGTATTCCTGGGATGAATTCCACTTGATCATAGTGAATGATCTTTTTAATCTGCTATTGAATTCTGTTTGCTAGTATTTGTTGATGATGTTTGCATTTGTGTTCATCAGGGCTATTCTTTTTAAATTGTGTCCTTGCCTGGCTTTGGTATCAGAGAAATACTGTCCTCATAGAATAAGTTTAGAAATATTGTCTCCTCTTCAGTTGTGTTGACTAGTTTGAGGAAAATTGGTATTCATTCTTTAAATGTTTGGTAGAATTCAGCAGTGAAGCCATCAGGTCCTGGGCCTTTTAAAATGGGAGATTTTTATTACTGTGTCGATCTTATTACTCACTATTGGTCTGTTCAGATTTTCTATTTCTTCATTCTTTAATCTTGGAAGGTTGTATATATCCATGAATTTATCCATTTTTTACAGGTTATCTTGGTTTTCCAGCATAAAATTGTTTCTGAAACTGTCCTGTGATGCTTTTTGTTTCTATGGCATCAGTTGTAATATATCTTTTTTTTGTATCTAATTTTATTTGAGTGTTTTCTATTTTTTTCTTAGGCCAGCTAAAGGCATCTCAATTTTATCTTTTTTTTCTTTTTAAATAACTCTTGGTTTCATTGATATGTTTTGTTACTTTAAGTCTCTCTTTTCTTGTCTTTCCTTTTATTTTTTTGAAACGGGATCCTGCTCTGTCCCCCAGGCTACAGTACAGTGGCACAACCATGGCTTACTGCAGCTCTCACCTCCTGGGCTCAGGTTATCCTCCTGCCTCAGCACCCCTGAGTATCTGGGACTACAGGTGCATGCTACCACATCTGGCTAATTTTTTAATTTCTTTGTAGAGATGGAGTCTCACTATGTTGCCCAGGCTGGTCTTTCCTGGCCTCAAGCAATCCTCCCTCCTTGGCCTCCCAAAGTGCTGGGATTACAGGTGTGAGCTACCAAGTCTGTCCTCTTTTTTCTCTTCTCTTTTCTTTATCTTCTTTTTTTGTTGAAATAGGATCTTGCTCTGTTGCCTAAGCTGGAGTACAGTAATGCAATTGTAACTCATTGTAGCCTCAAACTCCTGACCTCACATGATCTTCCTGCTTCAGCCTCCCAAGTGGCTGGGACTACTGGTGCCTGCAACTACACTTGGCTAATCTTAATTTTAGTTCTACAGATGGGTCTTGCTTTGTTGCTCAGGCTGGTACAAACTCCTGACTTCAAGTGATCCTCCCGCTTTGGCCTCCCTAAAAGTACTAGGATTATAGCATGAGCAACTGTACCTGGGCTGCTTCATTTATTTGTACTCTTTATTATTTCTTTACTTTTACTAGTTAAAGGATTACTTGGGTTCTTAAATTTTTAATTCCTTTGGTGCATTGTTAGGTTTTTAATTTGTGATCTTCTTTTTCGATGTAGACATTTATTACTATAAAATTCCCTTTTAGAACTGTGTTAGCTGTGTCCCAGGGATTTTGATATGTTGTATTCACCATGTTGGGCAGGCGGGTCATGCATTCCTGACCTCAGGTGATCCATCTGCCTTGGCCTCCCAAAGCATTGGCATTACAGGCTTGAGCCACCACGCCTGGCCTGTATTCCCATTTTCATTTCTCTCAGGAAATTTTTAAACTTTCTTTTACTTTCTTTATTGACCCATTGGTCATGTAAGAGCATGTTGTTTAATTTCCATA